TTGTAACATTAATACCCCCTGTACTGGTTATTTGTGACACACAATAACCGGGGAACCCATTTCGCTTCCAACCATGATTAGACGGTAGAAAAGTATTTCCTCAAGGTATCAGGTATCATTTAGATGGATCTGCTGCAATCCTTTCTTGGAGATTTTCCGGAAGATTTGCTGAGCCTTCTTTCTTAAGAATATACTCAAACTTGTCTTCTTGCAGTAGTATTTTATCGTAGTAAAACTATGAAGGCGCAGTTCAATTTATTTAACATCCCAATCATGTATTTATATTTCCAATTATTCCATTTACAGTAATGATATTTTGAATTGCAAAAATGTAATTGATCTGCAAGTCAAACGAATCCAGTAACCATGAGCTCAGCTATTTAACCATTTTTGGAGAGGAATTGTAATTGTAATAAAATATTAATTTGGTTCTCTGATAACAAAAATAAGAAGGTTTTAACAATTCGTTAACTTTTTCTATCAAAGAAAGGATGTTCGGATGAGTCTAGTGGTTAGCAAAGGGACCATGTACGATCATTGGGTTAAGGGTGTTCGGCTTTGTACATCTCAGGAAAGTGGCCAAAAACGGAATGTATTCATCTCTAAACTGTGGTTTAAACAAATATAGTCCTCCAATCAGCATTAAAGAGCACTTTACTGATATTTACTCAAACTGAAAATATTTACAGGGCTAATAAAAGAGTAATTAACAAACAAGTAATAAAACCATCATCTAATAGGAATATATATATTTCGATGGCTTGATAGCTAGTAAAATTTCTTTCTTCCTACAATAGATGGCAGCACAGCTTCATTCACCAAAACCTTCATTATTGAAAGTAATGAATATCAACAGAAATGCACGATATATATCGCTACTGTTAGTGTAAAAGGTCGTATGTGAAAATTTAGTTTGTTTACAAGAGGGTGCCCAGAAGGGGGTTTCATGACGCGAGTTGCTCCATCAAAATTTTCGAGGGGAGCATATTTTGAATTTTTCAGGAGAGAAAATTTCGATGGCGTTATGAATTTCGGACAAAAAGACAAGAAAAAAACGAGGAACAGAGGAACATCAAGTGTGGACGGGGTGGCCGAATGGGCTAAGGCATGTGCACAGCACCGCCGTTGGCCGGCAAACTGATTTTAAAATATTCATGCGTTCGCAGAGAGTCTTTTAAATTCCCGCCCACACCCGTTGGCCCGGGAAAACCCCATATAGCCTTAACGGCGAGGAAGGGGAGGACACAAAAAAAAAAAATCACATTAAGTGTAATTGCATGATCTACGAGTCCTATAATTTTACGTTCATTTTATATATTTTTTTAACATTTCAGGTTGCTCTGTTTTTTAAGAAAAGTTGAGCAATAAAATATCTTGGGAGGAGAAGGGATGGGGAGTAGATTCTTGCACCATCGAGTTTGGTGATGGGGAGTTTTCGTCCCCACAAGAGAGCGTAAAAACTGATAATTTATATATGAATTATTAGTATAATTTCATATTTTATTTCTCTCTAATATTTTTCATACCAGCAGACTATTTATAGCAGTTACACTAAAAATTGTCACGTATAGCACAAATAGAATAAGAATGAAAAAATTGTTACATGTGACCATTTGCACTAACAGTAGTATGCAATACCATATTATATATAAATATGAAGATAGACGCTTTGATTTTCCAAGAGTCTGCTTTTCCTTCCACAAGTAGGAGGAAAGCCTTGGCTTGGATTTCTCATGAATGAATTAATTGCGTTAATATTGTTTACAAGAAAGCCTATTTTTTTTTTTTTATTCATTGATATTTACAACTGTAATATAAAAAAAAATACAACTAGTAAATGTGCACATAGTAATAATACAATCACATGAAAACGCTTGTTGAGAAACTACCCATTGGTAGCACTCTAATAATATATTTACATAAGTAGATCACGAGGCCATCTTCTTTTCAGACGCCTCGGTAAGCCTATATTTAAGTTGTAATTTTATATCAGGCCTAAGGCTGATATAAAATTACAAGGAGCACTTTAATGATATTTACTAATATTATAATACTAATATTATATCAGCCTGTATCAGTATCAGTTCCTTTTTGTTTATATATATTGTAAGTATTATTTTGCTGTAATTCTATTAATTTTTATTTATTGTACATATGCTGTGAATAAGAATGAAGTTTTACTATCAAGGATAGCAAGCCATCGAAATATATATATTTCCATTAGATGATTGTTTTATTACTTGTTTGTTAATTATTATTTAATTACTCTTTTATTAGCCCTGTAAATATTTTCAGTTTGAGTAAATATCATTAAAGTGCTCCTTAATGCTGATTGGAGGACTATATTTGTTTAAACCACAGTCTAGAGATGAATACATTCCGTTTTTGGCCACTTTCCTGAGATGTACTAAGCCGAACACCCTTTGCCCAATGATCGTAAATGGTCCCTTTGCTAACCACGAGATTATCCGAACATCCTTTCTTTGTTAGAAAACGTTAACGAATTGTTAAAACCTTCTTATTTTTGCTATGAGAAAACCACATTAATAATTTACTACAATTACAATACCTTTCCAAAAAGGCTTAATTAGCTGAGCTCATGGCCACTGGATTCGTTTGACTTACAGATCAATTAGATTTTTGCAATTCAAAATTTCATTACTGTAAATGGAATTCTTGAGAATATAAATACATGATTGGGATGTTGAATAACTGGAACTGCGCCTTCATAGTTTTATTACAATAAAATACCGAGTTATTTTTCCTATAATGATATCTACTATCTGAATATCCAAGTTCTCTGTAAAGATATGTGGAGATATAGATATCCTGCTCATCACATAGCATATATTACATCAGACTCAGGGATTATAACCTTTAAGTATATATCTGACTTGTTATTTACTTTTCTTTTTAGGATTCCTGCGATCTTGTTAGTTAAAATAATAGATTTTTTCAAAATAAAAAGCACATCACTGTCTGGAATAAAGTAAATATTTTCAAAAATTTAATTTTAAAGAAATGAGAATCCGTTTTTTGTCTTAGCATACTGCGGTAAAATCAAAGCCAAACCTAAATGTGTTAAGATTTGCTTTGAAAAGCCGATTCGGAAGTAGAAGATTAAGACCGTGTGGACATCTGCTGTTGAGGAACGAAGGAGCGTTAATTACCAGGCTTGGGAACAAAAACAAGGAGAAGAAGGATCACGATGCTGTTCACATATGGTTTGGACCAGCTGGGGAGGATCTCCTGGATTAGTCAAGGAGGTAGGGAGACCTAAGAAGAGAGCCGAAAGGGTTGGCCGAGGCTTAAGGGAGTTTCACTGATTAAATCTAAGAGAAACTATATCTACTAATATAATATTAATTTGTTTATTTTATTTTTTCTTATGAATCTTTTAAAAATTAATTATGTGTGAGTTGCCCAACCCAAGAAATGGTATTTGGATAATATTTTTCACTCTTGTTAAAAAAAATACAAGCGAAAGTGGAATTAAAAAAAAATTAGATTATATTCAATTGCTCTTGCTGTGCCTGTCTATTCCTTTATCCTTGTTCATCGATTTGAAAGTTCCTCCAACTGGAATCCCACAAAAATATGGCTCCTTCCAAAAAGTTATAACCCCAATAAAAATGAACTCCCTTAAAACTTTTGATGGCGCATCTTGAGCTATGAAATTCTCTTCTGGACACCTCTGGAAAAGCTAATATTTCTAATTTTTTTAATCAGTCTTCAGTCACTGTTACAATATATCACAATCAATAACAAGCCTGGCATTCATGTATGAGGAAGGACAGTTGCCATCAACACCTCTTCCTAGCCTTTATTTATTTCCTTGATTCAGGACACATCTCTCATTTCACTATTTTTCATTCGCCTTCTGATGGACTTGGAGCCGTCGCAATGTCGTTAATAAGTTTGTTGTAGTGTCTGAGTTGTTTAGTATGAAATCAGGAGTAAAGAGTACGAATGTGTTAGTCGGTAATTGGTTGCTGTAAGCCATTGTGTAGTGTTTTGCTAGTTACGTAACAGGGAATGTCATCTACTAGTCTTATTTTTTTTTAAAGAAGTATCTTTTTTGTGAACCATGAGAGGCATATGTTCATACGTATTTAAATAATTATGTATATGCATTTAATTTCTGTTTAATTTTCAGTTTTGGAGATTAGGAAAAAAGGGATATCAGCCGTTTTTTAAAGTCATTATTTTTATTTTGACAAGGAAAGGCTCCAGTTCATCCTATGGCATGTAAGTCCAACGTACCGTAATAATAGTTTTAAATAAAAAAAAAGGCTTTTTATAAATATTGAATTGGAAATATTTGTATAACTGATATTTTGCTTTTTATTCTATACCTTTATACCACAACAGATATTATTTTAATTCTGATTTATGATGCAGCTGTTACAACAGTGCCTAATACTGTGACTTCAGCAAACAAGTTATTCTTATTTTATTCTACTGAAGTTAGTTCTCAACGAATATATTTACAATGACTGTTTTTTACTTATATATTGCTCGTATCTCTAACCTGTTGTGTTCTAATTACCAATAAATATGTAGTAGCAAATTTTTAAATGTATGAATGTTAAAAATCACAATTACTTATGAGATGTAGAGGATAAATATATATGGAATTTTAAAAAATCGGCTTTTGTAATTTTTTTTTTCATTTGTCTTCAACGGATCACGAAGAACAAGAAAGGCCTGGAGTGAGTTGCATCGCTGACATTTTCCCAGCAATTACTTCATGATTAGCAACATATAACGACCACCCAGTTAGCAGGAGGCTGCGACAACTTCAATTAAGGATTATAACCTGAATTTGCATCGATAACACTCTGTAGAGGACGTTTAAAGATAATTATCCATAATGAACAACTACCACGCTTAAGACACCAGCTGAAGGTTAGCTATAACTTTTCAATTTAACTGCAGGTAAGTGTTACCTTCAAGAGTTGCCTTGATTGAAAAAAAATCAATTATGCCATTCTGCTGAAATGGAGATAATGTCAAACGACACCAATGATGGATCAGAACAGCCTCTCTGTCGATCAAGTTAGCCCGAATAGCTTTTAAACGCTTTTTATGGCCATTTATAGCACTTTACTTATTGTTCCAAGTCGTTTTATTAGTCTCCATGATGTCATTAAACTGGAAATACCCCTGGATATCTGAATACAAGCCAGTAGATGGAACAATTTTTACTACGGAACCTGAATCAAAAGCTGATTACAGGTTGCTACAGGAAGACGGGATGATCCTAGCAATTTGCCGAGGAGAGGTTGTCAGTCGTCAAGGCGTACTCTTAATGGAAATGCAACAAAGAAGATCTGGAAAAAATGGTATTTATTACTGAATCCAATACGATAATTTTCCCTATGTCAGCATTTAAATCGCCATAATTATCTCTGAAATAATTTGTATGTCTCTGTGGACGTTTGATTTATTGAATAAATGCCCTCCCTGGCTACGGTATCATCTTCTTCCTCTCCGGGAATGACGGTCTTCCGCGGCAGATGGTCGGATCTGCTATAGCAATAAAGCCATTAAGGCTGATGTTATGAATCAGGAGCTAGAATATGACTTTAAAGAAGGATGTAATCCCAACAATTTGCTTAGTTTCTGTCTTAAAGTTTTTATTTTTACTCTTCAAATCACATGAAATTTAAATATTAATGTCATATTATGATGATAAACATGGTAGACCACCCAGAGAACTGTCATCGAACTCAAATGGTAATTATATTTATAGTATCATGTCATTATATTTTCCCCCTTGCGTTCTTAAGGTACAATGACTTCAACTCCAGTTAGGTTACCACAATAATATTACCTGTGTTGATAAAGGATCCGAAATACCCATTAAAATAGTTATTATTATTATTATTATTATAGCAAATATAAAGAATCGTATTTCAAATACAGATGTATGGTTTATTTATTTTTTAAGTTAACTTCTTTATTTTATTTTATTTTTTTTTTTGTTTAATTTTCCAAGCTATTTAATTGTACCTGCGTAAATTATAGTAGCTATAATGCGTAAATTATAAATTCGATTTTGCTTGATTTTCGTTATTATTAAAAGAGTAGGTCTCTTAGTCATTTTGTTTATAATCTCTATCGAGCAGGAATCAGGGAGGCGGCAATTAAAAAAAACAACTAGTGGGTTGAAGTGATTTCGAGTGGAATAATAAATTATAATGTCTTTTTTTTTTTTTTTTTTTTTTTTGTAATCGCCTCTACCCTCATTTCCGTCTAGTTTTCTATATTCTATTGTAATAATTCGTCTCCATTAAGTACCGGAATAGGGTGGTGGCTCCTTCTTCGTTGTCTCTTAATATTTCTTTCATTGTCATTGATATTTTCAATGTTTGCCGAATGTTGTTGAACTCGTTGCACTCTACTAACAGGTGTTTTACTGACTGTGGTTTATTGTCACACTTTTGACACGTGGGTGGTTCCAGTCCTCTGAGAAGGTATCCGTGGGTAAACAGGCAGTGACCTATTCGTATTCTGCACAATATTGTTTCTTCTCTTCTGGATATTCTTTAGCTACTAGCCCACTTGTTGCAGTCTGTTTTTATTTCCATTAATTTTGACTGTCTATTTTTCCATCGATTAACCCAATTTTCCAACAACTTCTTTTTTGTTGCGTGTACCCAGTCTTCTACTGTGATATAATTTATAGAAATTATGGTTGGTGCCTCTCCCTTCCTTGCTAAGTTAGCTGCATGGTCTGCTCTTTCATTGCCTGAGATACCGCTATGAGATGGAACCCAGAAAAATATCACTCTGACCGTTCTTTCATTTAATTCCCACCATAGATTCAATATATCCCTTATTATTGAATTGCTTGGTTACCTATTGCTGCTATGACGCTTTTGGAGTCTGATGCTATCATCCATTGATTGTCATTGGAATTTGATATCCAATGGAGGGCCTTCATGATCGCAGTAGCTTCTCCAGTAAATATGGAGCTCTCTCCTGGTAAGCTAAACAGAAGTTGGTATAAGATAATGTATTTATCGTGGATGTAGAATTTTACTGTTGGAATGTTTTAGTCGTTATGTATATTGAGTGATATTTGAAATATACCACGTTAACAATTTTTCGTTGAATTTTGATTGTGTTGTTTATATTTTGTTTATGTGTGTTTGTTTTTTCGAAACCCCAAAGTTTTGCTCCGTATGTCCAGATTGGTCTTAGTATAATGTTGCAGATCAGTAACTTGTTTCTTAATTTAAGTGAGGATCTGTAGTCTAGAAGGTGGGAGTTGGTTATATCGTCTAGTCAGTTCTTGTATTTTTAATTTCACATGTATATCCTAAGTAAGTTTTTTGTAGAGTCCGAGGTAACGTACTTAATTTTTTTAAGGCACTGGATATTGTAAATAATTATAGGGGATCTGGAGCTTTTCTAAGAGAGAAATTTAGGTGGATGGATTTGCTGCCATTTATTTTTATTTTCCATTTTTCGAACCACATTTCATAGACTAGAAGTTCATTGATTTAACTTAAATAAAATTTTAATTATTTAAAAAAACATTAGGATAAATAAAGAACTATCAAGAACATTTATTTCTTGTTTCATATCCATTTCTAGTTAAGCTTTGAAAAATATTTTGAATTTTTTTTTTGATGTTTGAACATTTTGTATTAGTTAATTAGAAAATTTAACGTGCACAGTAACCATTCCAACTTAATGGATTTAATTTTAATTTAAAATGAAAATAAGTAATGTTTCGTTTAACTTTACCTACATAACATCACAATTATGAATTCAAAATCAGGATTCTGCATGCATTTGTAGAAAAGAAATATGCGAAATTTTATTTTAGAATTTCAACTTTATTTTTTTAACTTTGATGGCTTATAAGATAACTTAAATGGTAAACGGAAATACGGAGATGAATTGGGGGAGAGAAGTTTTTCGAGATGAGGACATTGGTTTGGAGGTAGAGGAACCATTCCTCCGACCATTCCTCTTTCAACTGCTAGTTTTTTGGAAAAGCTGTTGAAAGGAATGAGATTCAGAGTATGGTGGGGTTCATTATTTTGGACTCACTGGGTATCTTGCACCATCGCCTCTATTAAATCTGGTCATTGCGTTATGGAGGATCCGGGTGACTGATTTGAGAAGAATGAAGATGAGAAAAAGAATTTTTCATATAGAATCAAGTTGAACTTTTAGATATTGTCTATCGGATGGATTAGTATGCTGTGTTCGTTAGAAATTCAATACAGTTGAGCAGCATTACAATTTTATTGTAGTTCTCTGTTGTTAGCATGTTTCATGCATTTATTTTTTACCAATCCTAATAAGCAACATTGCGGTAAACATACTGCTGTAGTGTCGCTTTACCAGAAACTAAGTGAGAGGCCACCTCCTGTAGTTTAGGTAACAAGCCAAATTTTCTTCGGCCAAAATTCTTTCTTAACCAAAATTCTCATAAGTCGAAGAAGTTTAATCTATCCCATAGATGTAGAACCTTTTTATCGGCAGTAAGTTTAGACAGTGCTAATGGAGGCCGTAATAATTCTTTATATTTCACCGTTGCTATTTTTATTTATCACTAAATACATACACCGACATACATACAATTAACTTAATTCCATTAATCTTCAAGTTGTCTTTACTTAAATAATTGAATATTAATTAATTCTAGCAATAGATTAATAAATATCACGCAAAACTTTAGGATGCCGCACGTGGCATCCGAGCCCACGTATGATTTATCCAGTTGTCTAAAAACATTAAATTCTACTCTTTTTATGTTGTTGTTTTTTTAGTTCTTTATTGTATTCCTTAATGTTTATGTTTAGAAAGTTTCAAAGCAGTAAGACATAATTGACCAACTGATTATTTGTTTATTGATAAATATTACAATCTGTCTCAATAAAGGACATTTATAATAGAGTTCTGAGAGCACATTCACACCATATTTACTAATTAAATAAAAAATAAAGGAATAAGCTAACTTCAAATAATATAAAGCTACAAAAGAACAAAATAAAATATCATAGTTAAGTAAGAAAAAATAAATAATAGTAATAATAGAATGAAAATAAATGAATAAAATAGAATTAAAATTATCTTAAAAAAAAAAAATGTAATGAAAATAAACATCTTTGATGCAGGCATACCTATTTACACTATCTATATTTTCACTCTCCAATATTTATATACTTATCATCCTTACACTTTGAATCATGATAATGTAGCCAATAAAAATTTTGAAGTTATCAAAGGCTGGAAATAACTTCTTTATTTCCAGGTGGCTTTGGCCAGGCCATCTTCTTCTTTGACTGTAAATCAGCTTTCATATATTAAAATGGACTAAGCCAATTGTGTTTTTCCACAAGAATGAAAAATATCCATAGTACGGTCTGTTCTTCAGTAAATATATTACGGGTAGCTCTTCAGTCACCAACTGAGGGAAATCGTTTTCTGAGTAATCTTAGTATAAGCATTTGGCCTTAAGTGTCTCAATGATGTACTAAGCTGTCTCTGTAACTTCACTACTGGACCTTTTCAGTGCCATGCAGCTTACCATGAAACTCTTTGTCAAGCAATTTTTTTTTAGTAATTCTTCCTTTTTCTTTTACATATATTTAAGAAGTTGTCCAGTTAATCACGTACCCATAATTTATATGAAGCAGACACGAATAATCCAGATTCAAAGCGAGTCAAACAGCGAGACAGAATAATAAATCTTTAATGAAAGCATACATGATGAAATATACATTCAAAAACAAGTGCATGTATTACAAAAATTGTAAAAGATGTGTTATGAGCATTTAGGTTATTGGCAACACAGTTAGGTTATTGGCAACTGAAGATTGACAGATGACACGCATTGACCGCAACGATTTAAAAAGAAAATAACACCTTACTTTGCCATATCACAGTTTTAAACTTTTCATTCTTCTTTTCCTTTGTAAGCATGAGTGTGTTATCGTCATGACATGAATAAATCAGTCATTTTTTTTTTCACTCTAAGTACTTATATTTTGTAATAAAATATATTTTTTTTAGTGAAACGTAAGTTTAACAAATAAACAAACAAATATTCGCAGAAGAGAGAACAGGTCGATTCAAACATAAAAAATAAATAGATCATAAGACATAAAGTTTTCAATAATGTTGTAGTAGGGATGCAAACACACCATCGTCGTTTGTGCTTAATAACAATGTTTTGTAAAGTGGTACCTTACACGACAGCCAAGATAAAGATTGCATTGTTTTAAAATATATGCAACACTTACACCTTTTTTAAACACAAGTCTGATGGATTCATTATGTGTATTCGTCAACAATGAGGATGATGAAATGTAGAAATCGTCAATTTTTATTTTG